TGGCTGCATGAAGCACAGAAGTAACGGGAAAAGTAGCACAACTGGGGCGGCAGGGGCCCGGAGAGATCTCAGCCGTGCCGGGAGCAAGCACTGGAACTGGAAGGGACCCCGAGAGGCCATCAAGTCCAGCCCCCCGCCCTCACGGCAGGACCAAGCACCATCCAGACCATCCCTGCCAGGCGTCTGTCTAACCTGCTCTTGAATATCTCAAGGGATGGAGATTCCACAACCCCCCTTGGCAATTTATTCCAGCATTTAACTCCCTGGATAGTTAGGAAGTTTTTCCTAATGTCCAACCTAAACCTCCCTTGCTGCAATTTAAGCCCATTGCTTCTTGTCCTATCCTCAGAGGTGAAGGAGAACAATTTTTCCTTGTAACACCCTTTTAAATACCTGAAAATTGCTATCATGCCCCTCTGTCTACTCCTTTCCAAACTAAACGAGCCCATTTCTTTCAGCCTTCCCTCATTACTCATCTTCTCTAGACCTTTAATCATCCTCGTTGCTCTTCTCTGGACCCTCTCCAATTTCTCCACATCTTTCTTGAAATGCGGTGCCCAGCACTGGACACAATACTCCAGCTGAGGCCTAATCAGCGCAGCATAGAGCGGAAGAACGACTCCTCGCGTCTTGCTCACAACGCTCCTATGAAAGCAGACACGCTTGACCTCCAAGGGCTGAGGCTGGACTTTCAAGTATTCCCAGAGAAACCCCTCGCCTCACCTGTGAGCACCAGTTTCATCAGGGTGTCCCTAACGAAGGTGGTGTTGATGATGTCCCAAAGCCACTTGCAATGAGTCAGGATGAAGTGATAGACGGCCGGGCTTGGCTTGAGCAAAACGCGGAGTCGCGTCCAAAACTCAGCTGGGATGAAACAATAAATTGCTTTATGTTACCCATCGGTAATAAAACGCTTTCCTTTCTAGTGGTCGCTGCTCAGCGGCCAATCAACTCGCAGTAACTGTTAGCTAACAAAGAAGTCTGCTAGCACCTGCACCTGGTCAGGCAGTAGGGCTACGTCTAGACTGGAATGATTTTCCGCAAATGCTTTTAACGGAAAAGTTTTCCGTTAAAAGCATTTGCGGAAAAGAGCGTCTAGATTGGCACGGACGCTTTTCCGCAAAAGCACTTTTTGCAGAAAAGTGTCTGTGCCAATCTAGACGCGGTTTTGCGCAAGAAAGCCCCGATCGCCATTTTCGCCATTGGGGCTTTTTTGCGCAAAACAGTTTTTAGCTGTCTACACTGTTTTTCCCGAGCGGGACCAGTATAGTATTTGCGCAAGAACACTAACAATCTTACATTAGATCGTCAGTGTTCTTGTGCAAATTCAAGCGGCCAGTGTAGACAGCTGGCAAGTTTTTCCGCAAAAGCGGGTGCTTTTGTGGAAAAATGTGCCAGTCTAAATGCAGCCTAAGAGTATAGACAAATGAAGCAATGCTCCTGTTTTGTGTTCCATTGGCTGCGTGTCTTGTTACTCACTGTGTCTCTGAGCGGTATTTTGAGCTGAGATTAGCTCCGTCTCCTGCTCATGAAGTCGAATTAAGCCTCTTGCAGAAGGTGCTCTTTTTCCACCCAGCCTCTGGGCTTTTGCCCCAAAGGCCAAGCGGAAGGGTGAACTTACGCAGAGTGCAGTTGATGCCGAAGTACCCAGTACGGGTGCAGTCACATTCGTAGTCTTCCCAGCCGACCCTCATGCACACCCCTTTGTTCTGGCATGGGTAATAGCAGCACGGATTCACTAGGGGAAGAGCAAGAGATGTAATTGTTAACTTGTGGGCAATCTCTGACGGGGCAGCTCCTCCATCACCGGGGGCTCACGTTAGCCCAGGAGCAGAGAACCCACAGGAGGCCTAGGGACCTGGTAAACAAAGCGGACCAAGTTGGAATTTAAGCTGTGTGGAAGCCTGTCTGTAGCTGTAGCCATTTCCTTTAATAAATGCCTCCTATTTCAGCTGGACAGTGATTCACTATCGCATGGCAGAAGGCAAAGAAAGGGTTGCACCATTCCACCCAGAGTGCTCCTTTTAAGCAGGCGGAGGGCAGGGGGGATCTGGGTACATGCATTTAGCACGTGTCTTCAGCCCAGTGGTACTAGGGCCCTGTGAGATCAACGCTGCCCTATGGGCTTGGCTGCGAAGACCATTCACTGCAGGGATTCCATCCGGGACATGCCTGGAATGCACGAGCGGGGCGAGGAATCCCAGCGAAAGCTACCAGGCTGCAGAGGGCGGTAACCAGCATTTGCCCCACCCTAGGGCAGGATCACTCTTAGAATGATGGATGGAGCAGAGGGGGAGACACACGGGTTGGCTGGAACTGGAGAGTCACTGGACAGGGGGCAAGCAAGAAAGGGAGGAAAGGGGCCTCTCCTAACTACACACAAGTCCACCCAGGACTTTGCTTTCAGATGTTTCTGTTAAGCCCCCCCGGAGGCTGTCAAGTTTTGTGCCTGTAAAGCAGATTTTTATAACGATTTACTGGAGGAGCATGGCAGAAAAATGTACCGGGAGGAGCAAAGCCCTGCACTCGCTGCTATCAGCAACAGGTCCAGGCAGCCCCGCGAAATGCATGTACCCAGATCCCCTCCGCCTGCTTAAAAGGGGCACTCTGGGTGCACTGTAAGGTAATTCTTTGCTGTCTGCTATGTGACAATGAATCACTGTCCAGCTGAAATAGGAGGCATTTATTAAAGGAAATGGCTACAGATATAAACAGGCTTCCACGCAGCTTAATTCCCAGCTTGGTCCACTTTGTTTACCGGGACCACACTCTGTCTGAAGCTCTAACCAACACACCGTGACTAGGGGTTAAGTGATCTCACTGTAAGGGCATACATTGTGCTCCCAGTGTGTGGTCTACCGTGCGATCCGGCCAATACTCTAAGCTATCCTGCCAAGGGAATAAATTAACCTAAAATCTTCAGGAGCTTCAGGGGGTAGCTGAGTTAGTCTGGATTTCTACAGCGACGCTTCCGCAAACGGGCTCGAGCTGACATTATCAGCAAACAACACCGTATAACGTACAACCTCAGTCATGCAGAACGCAATGCTATTCACAGCCTCCAAACCAATCCGAACGTAATAATCCAAGAAGCTGACACAGGAGGTGCTGTAGTCGTAATGAACAGGAGGCGAACAGACAACTCACCAACACCAGACTCTACAGGCCTCTCTCCTGTGACCCCACGAAGGAATACCAAAAAAACATGAAAAAACTGCTCATGAAACTCCCGGATGCTGCTCAGGAACAAATTTACACCAACACCCCCACAATCCCTGACCAGGAACTTTCTACTACCCAAAATACACAAACAGGGCTTGCCTGAGCCCTTTTGGCACCCTGGACCTGGGTGCGTGGTGCCGCCCCGGGCGTACAGTGCATGAGCAGGCCCGCGCCCGGGGCGCACGGTGCATGCGCTGCCCAGCCCAGTCCGGTTATTGCTGCTGGCGTGTGTGCAGGGCCCTGCGGCCGTGGGGGGAAGGGTGCTGTTGGCCGGTGTCACGGAGCCAGCGCTGCGGGAGCCGGGCGCGTGGCGCCTGATAGCAGCTGTAAGGAACGCTGGACGCCCCTTCCAGCTGCCATCAGCCCCCCCCCCATCAGTTGGCGCCTCGGGCAGCTGCCCGGCTCGCCCATGCCTCCGTCCAACCCTTTACACAAACTGGTAATCCCGGACAGCCCATCATCTCCAGCATTGGCACACTCGCCACAGGATTATCTGGCTCTATCGACTCCCTCCTCAGACCCTATGCTACCAACACTCCTAGCTACCTCTGCGATACCACTGACTTCCTGAGGAAACTCCAAAACATCAATACTCTTCCTGAAAACACCGTCTTGGCCAGCGTGGAGGTAGAAGGCCTCTACACCAACATTCCACACGAAGACGGATTACCGGCCATCAGGAACACCATCCCCGCTAACAACCCTGCACACCTGATTACAGGGCTCGGCAACTTCGTCCTCGCCCACAACTACTTCCAATTCAGAAACAATTTCTATTTCCAAATCAGCAGCACAGCAACGGGCACTCACATGGCACCACAATATGCCAACGTCTTTATGGCTGACCTTGAACAACGTTTCCTTAGCTCTCGCCCCCTAACAGCCCTACTTTAATTACGCTACATCGATGACATCTTCATCGTATGGACCCACAGAAAAGAGACTCTTGAAGAATTCCACAAGGATTTCAACAACTTCCACCCCACCATCAACCTCAGCCTGGACCAGTCCACAAGGGAAATCCACTTCCTGGACACTACAGTACGGTTAAATAATGGACAAATTTCCAGCACCCTGTATCAGAAACCCACCGACAGCTACGCTTACCTTCATGCTTCCAGCTTCCATCCCAGACACATTTTTCAATCAATTGTATACAGCCACGCCCTACGATAGAACCGGATTTGCACAGAGACAATCACCTACAAGATCTTTACAGAGCATTCCTAAAACTGAAATACCCACCTGGGGAAGTGAAAAAACAGACAGACAGCCAAAAAAAAAAAACACCCGGACATGAACTACTTCAAGACAGGCCCAAAAGAGAAAATAACAGAACTCCTCTTGTTGTTACCTACAGTCCACAACTCAGACCCCTCCAATGCATTATACACAATCTACAACCCATCTTGGGAAATGATCCCTCAGTTTCAGGCCTTAGGAGAAAAAACTATTTTTGCTTTACAGACAACTCCCTAACCTGAAACCTATTCTTTCTGATAACCGTGCCACACAACCACATCATAAACCTCCAGGAACCCAGCCCTGCAACCAAAAAAGATGCCAACTCTGCCCACATATCTACACTGGCGAAGACATCACTGGAGCCAACAACATAAGCCACAAAATCAAAAGGTCATTTGACTGCACATCCAGTAATTTGATCTATGCCATCAAATGCCAGCAGTGCCCCACTGATGTATGTATTGGACAAACCGGATGGTCTCTGAGGGAAAGAATCAATGGACACAAATCGGATATACGGAAAGGGAACATACGGAAGCCTGTTGGTGAGTATTTCAGTCTGCCAAATCACAGTCTGACAGACCTGCAAGTAGCTGTCTTGCCACAAACCAGCGAGGCCCTGGAATCCCAAGTATCAGAGGGGGAGCCGTGTTAGTCTGATCTGCAAAAGCAGCGAGGAGTCCTGCGGCACCTTATAGACTAACCGAAGTGTTGGAGCAGAAGCTTTCGTGGGCAAAGACCCACTTCGTCAGATGCAAGTCACTGGAATCCCAGTTCATCTGCAAATTCAACTCACATGCTAATGGGCTCAGTCGTGCTATGAGCTGGCTAGGACTCTACCTACTACTTAATAACCACTGAAGGTACTAACAGCTCTCTGAGTGTACCCTTCCTGTCTTGGGATTCTATTTATTGACTTTGATTTTTATCTACTTAGGTTTAAGTACCCATTTCCAGATACTTAATGATGCTCTGTCTCCCACCTCCCTCCCTTTTTCTTTCTCTCCCCCCTCCCCTTCCCCTCCCCTATTTATTTCGAGTTTTCATAACCCAAACTCATAACTCCGGTCATCTGAAGAAGTGGGCCGTGCCCCCGAAAGCTCACGATGCCATCGACACGTTTAGTTAGTCTATAAAGTGCTACCCGCCCATTTGTTGTTTTTTTTCTAAAATATCTTGTTAGCAGCTTCCCAGAATCCATCTCCTCTCTGATTATGAATGGATGGAAACGGCCGCTTGTTGGCTTGGTTCTCCTATCTTCATTCTCCAAGCAGGGTCACTTCCTCTGGAACAGGAGGCTCAGTCTCCTGTCTTGCTGGCCGGAGGCTGGAGATAAGCGAATCAGCGTTCCCCAGAATATCCCGCGTCCCCCAGAGTCCAACACGGCTAGAAGATATTCATTAACAATTTACCCACACCGCCCTCCCCCACACCCCGCCGGGCGGATGGGGCTCCTGGGAGGTGGCAGGGCCGAGCGGGAAAAGAGCAGGAGACCCACATCCTGCTGCAACCTCCCCGGGGCTGGTTTATATTGTCTTGTTCGTTCTTGTTCGTTCTCGTTCCTTCTTTCCAGCCACGTGTCCCTCCCCCGGCAGACCCCTGCTGCGCTGGGCAAGGGCGACGGCCCCGAGCGATATCGGCAGAGAAGACCCAACGTTCGGCAAAAACGAACTCTCGGGTTTCTGCCGGCGAAGCTCTGCCACAGAGCCCCCTTGGTGCCCGCTGCTCTGCCGAATGGTCCATGCCAAGAGTTTGGGCTCAGTCTGCCTATGGGCTCCCAGGAAAGCAAGCCACAGGGAATCCAAGCACCTGAGCTCGGCTGCTCCCAGCGACAAGCCCTCCCGCAGCTTCGAGCTGGCGTGGGGGAGGCATCAGCATCCTTAGTGTAAAGCTCCTGCAAGGCAGCGGGGGGCAGGGGTGGGGCCGCGGGAGCTTCACTGGGCTTTGCTAGCCATGCCCGGGCTCGGGCAGAGTCCAAAATCGCAGCTCGGGCTGATCCACCGGATCTGCCGCCAGGCTGAAGTAACATCCTGGCTGCCCTGGAAAAGCAGGACACAGGAGAAGCATGACAAGAATGCGCAATGCAGCCAGAGACGCTGCTGAGATGCTGTTACCAATCCCCCCTCCCCCGGGGCCAGTCCACCCAAGGGCTTCGGGGGTTACTGCTTCCAAGGCACCGGCACCACAGATCTACCCTCCCCTCCCGCCCAGTGCTGCAGCAGAGCCAGGGACGGGTTTGTATCAATTCTCACCTGCTCAGCGCTGGAGGCTCATCAGGGCCAGGCCCGCTTCTTCGGGCACCAGGCAACCCGCAGGCATGATTGGAAGCTTCCCGCATTTGCTCCTGGATCCTTGTAGCGTTATCTCGTTTCACGGGAGGGAGGGAAACTGAGGAACGGTGCTGGGTGGTGACATGCTCAAGGCTGCACGGGGCATGGGGGCCGGAGCTGGGGTCTGTGCCAGGATTTGCGGTTGCTTCAGCGTGTTTCAAGACGGGGGGCTGCAGTGTCACAGTGCCCTCTGATGCCCGCGGGTGGCAACCGTTCACCTCCCCCGCGACCCCCAGCACCACGGCGTGGCCAGCTTCGGAGCCGGGAGGGTGCCTGGGACACCCCAAGCAGGAGCCGATTCCGGCGACAGAGGCTCCCCACCGGAGGCAGACACCCTCTGAAATACCATGTGCCATGTTTTCCAAGAGCAATGCAGTGTCACAGTGCCCTCTGATGCCCGCGGGTGGCAACCGTTCACCTCCCCCGCGACCCCCAGCACCACGGCGTGGCCAGCTTCGGAGCCGGGAGGGTGCCTGGGACACCCCAAGCAGGAGCCGATTCCGGCGACAGAGGCTCCCCACCGGAGGCAGACACCCTCTGAAATACCATGTGCCATGTTTTCCAAGAGCAAGACCCTGCGTTGCACGGCTTTGTCTTCCGCAGCATAAACCGGGCGGGCCCCTTCAATCCCAGGGGCCAAGCCAGCCCAGAAAGCTACTCCCATCGGAGGTCTGCTGGGGCACCCTGGTTGGCAAACCCCTGTTCCGTCGGCTTCGCGAGGGGCTTTGCAGTGCAAAGGAACGGCCCTGCCACTGGGGCTGCAAGCGCCTTCATCCATCATTTTTATAGCCCTGTAAATCTGCGGGCAGGCCCCGTTCCCTGCCGCCCCCACTAGACAGACGAGGCCAAGAGCTAGGACGGCTTGAGAGGAAGCAGCCAGAGAGCGGAGTTGGAAGGAGCCTGCGGCCACAGCTCATTGCTCACCCCTCGGCTCCCCTTCTTGCCGACCCGCCCGAGTTGCTGGCCAGTTTGCAGGGCAGGCGTGCTGGTGTCGGAGGGGCGTTTACTTTGCGAGGCTATTTCAGTCGTCGGATGCCTGGAGGACCTTAGGGCAGGTGGTGTTTGCTTACACAATAACAACGGAAAGAGAGGCGAGCAGCGTATGGAAATTTGCTTAAGGGCTTTTTCAATGCACATTAACTCTTCCGTGGCCCGAGTTGCTGGCCAGTTTGCAGGGCAGGCGTGCTGGTGTCGGAGGGGCGTTTACTTTGCGAGGCTATTTCAGTCGTCGGATGCCTGGAGGACCTTAGGGCAGGTGGTGTTTGCTTACACAATAACAACGGAAAGAGAGGCGAGCAGCGTATGGAAATTTGCTTAAGGGCTTTTTCAATGCACATTAACTCTTCCGTGCTCCTTGGCGCCTGAGGGAAAGCGAAGTGCAGATGCGTTTGTATCCAGGAGATGGTTGGGGAGAAGGAAGCAATTTCTGGAGGTTTCCCCTTTTTTTGAAACGAGTAGTCCTCCGGCACCTTGGAGACTAACTGAACTCTAGAGAATTATGAGCTTTTGTGGATAAAACCCACTTCCTCAGATGGGTTGGACTGGAAACAACAGAAACCAAGAGATATATAACAGCAGACGAAGTACCTGTTGATTATAGGACCTGTGTTAATGAAGCTAATTAAGTGGGCAGGATGTGTCCCATTCATAGCTTTTGATGTGATTGAGTTGGGGTTGGTCCTGCCTGGACTTGCTGACTCCTGAGGTCTCTGCCCGCCCTGGAATTCTATGTGCATGTCAGAGGGAGGAGAAACGGGCTTTGTAATGTGCCAATCAGTTAATGTCTTTATTCCAGCCCAGGGTAACTGTGTCAAATTTGAAGATGAGTAAGTTCTGCAGACTCTCTCTCTAAGGGAACCCCCAACGCGCCGTCACAGCTACTTTAAAATCCGTGATTGAGCAACCAGGTAGGCGGAGAACATGAGTGTTTTCACATCAAAAGCTATGAATGGGAGACACCCCCCACACACACACTTAATTAGCCTCGTTAACACTTAATTAGCCTACAGTTTACAATAATTTCTGCTGTTTTTATGTATAAATCTAGATTTCTGTTATTTCCGCTCCAATTCATCCGAGGAAGCTCAGGATTCTAAGTATTTTGGTTAGTCTCCATGGTGCCACAGGAACTCTTGTTGTTTTTAAAGTTACAGATGAACCCGGCAACCCCTCTGAGGCCCCTTTTTTTGAGTCATTCAGCTCTAGACATACGTGCTTCAGTTAAAAGCTCAAGCAAAGCACCTGAGACGGATGGGAAAAGCCTTCGGAATCGCAGGCCTCTTGCGTTCATCCCTTCCCTCAAGGACAGTCCATGGTTTCAGCGATGCTGCTGCAGGCAGCCTTGTTGACAACTGCTAGGACTCTCCCTGGCTGCAAGTACAGGCCCGTTTTTATTCCTTTCCCCAGTTACCTCAGGTCAAGCGTTAGAATTATCTGAAGCTCCAAAGAGAAGCTGACGCAAATCTCCGCTGTTCCATAGCAGGAGTTCATCCCGTCCACACGCCCGGCGGGAACACTGCAGTTCCCAGCAGCCAGTGAGAAACCCGTGTGGAAAGCGGAGATGCAAGACTCAGCCTGGGTACTTGTTTAGGGATTGTGGTCTCTCCGCCGCTGGATGTCCCTAGGGGCCATTGAGGCTAATGGAATAATGCCAGGCTGCATCTGCTGAGCACATGGACTGGAAAGATCAGGGCTGTGAATGTCCACAGCAAAAGCTCCTCTCTCCATCCCTCTCACCACAAGCGAGATTTGATAGCACGATAAGAGGGGACATGAGAGCAGCTTTGAAGTACTTAAAAGCATGTTGCAAACAAAGCCAACATGATTCTGGGAGGCATTAACAGGAGTGGTGTGAGCAAGACACGAGGCGTTCTGCTGCTGCTCTACTCTGCGCTGATTAGACCTCAGCTGGAGTATTGTGGCAAGTTCTGGGCACTGCATTTCAAGAAAGATGAGGAATAATTGGAGAGGGTCCAGACAAGAGCAACAAGGATGATGAAAGGTCTAGAGAACATGACCCATGAGGGAAGACTGAAAGAATTGGGCTTGTTTAGTTTGGAAAAGAGAAGACTGAGGGGGGACATGAGAGCGGTTTTCAGGTTTCTAAAAGGGTGTTACAAAGAGGAGGAAGAAAAATTGTTCTCCTTGGCCTCTGAGGATAGGACAAGAAGCAATGGGCTTAAACTGCAGCAAGGGAGGTTTAGATTGGACTTTAGGAAAAACTTCCTACCTGTCAGGGTGGTTAAACACTGGAATAAGTTGCAGAGGGAGGTTGTGGAATCTCCATCCCTGGAGATATTGAAGAGTAGGTTGGATTGACATCTATCAGGGATGTTCTAGATCAGGGGTTCTCAACCTTTTTCGTTCTCCGTACCTTCTTGGCTTTTAGTAAACCTTCCCGTACCCCCTATTCACTATGAAAGGAAATAAATTCTAGATTCTAGAATCCACAACTTTTTTCACTCCCACGACTCCTTTTGGAATATTTCCATTCGGATAATCTAGTTATTTACCAAATACTCCCCGTACCCGCTTGACAAGCTTCTTGTATCCCCTGGGGGTACGCGTCCCCCCAGTTGGGAACCCCTGTTCTAGACGGTGCTCGGTCCTGCCATAAGGGCAGGGGACTGGACTCGATGGTCTATCGAGGTCCCTTCCAGGCCTAATGTGATTTCCAAAGGTACAGAGGGCAGGCAGGTGCCGGTTCTCTACTGAAATGGGTGCCGGTTCTCTACCATGCAGCCACCAGGATGACAGTGGTTTGTCACGTGTTCCCTGTGGGTAGCAGTGATAACACTGCACTACGGTCTCCTCTTCGACTGCGCCTCACAGCCCGGACTGAGTCTCCCTCATCCTGGGCTTCCGCCTCCCCCCACTAAGCCTCAGGCTAACGTGAACGCCCCGCCGCCAGGAAGTGCTGTGGCTGGCTTCGGAGAAAAGCGTCCAGGAGGAAAGGCTGGTCCAGCTCCCCCGTGCCTGGCTGGGACGCGGTGGAGTGACTCCAGCCCTATGTAAACAGTCTTCCTTCGTAAACACTGGGATCTTAACAGGGCTCGCCAGGGCAGAGGCTGAATATTTCTGCTATTCGTTGGCTTGCTGTGGATGACGCCACACCTGGCGGCAGACAACGAGCTGGCAACAACTGCGATTCCTGCTTGAACTCTAATCCACTAGCCCAGTACCGGGGCCACCCAGGGGCCTTTGTAGGTGGCAGCAGCCTGCTTCAAAGGCATCTACCGCGTCCCAAAACAGGGCCGTCTCCCAAGCCCTGCAGGCTGCCAGGACGGCATGGTCCTTAGCAGCCGGGGTTCGCTAGCTCTCCCCCTCTGTCCTGCGCACGTCACGCTGACAGGCGGGTTGAACCTGGGACCTCGGGAGCGGAGTGCATGAGCCAAAAGCCCACGGGCGCTCCGCTACGGCTGTCACGTGTGCTCATTGTTTCCCTCTGGACGTGGTCTAAGGCGCGACGTGGCAGGGGTGCACCACACCCACACGCACAGCAGGACCCCCTCCGCCGAGTCACCGTGGAGACAGACTTGTCTGAGTTGGCAGCCAAAGAAAGAACGGCTTTTCCTGGCCAGAGAGAGCGAGGCCATCAGAACCCCATTCCTGGGCCTATCTGGATCCGGTCAAAGAGAGCCAGCTGCCCTTCCACACAGCACTCCGCTTTGTCTTGCCCCTCTTCCTTTCGCGTCTGCCCCGCCAGGGCCAGTTTCGAGTCACCGTGGAGACAGACTTGTCTGAGTTGGCAGCCAAAGAAAGAACGGCTTTTCCTGGCCAGAGAGAGCGAGGCCATCAGAACCCCATTCCTGGGCCTATCTGGATCCGGTCAAAGAGAGCCAGCTGCCCTTCCACACAGCACTCCGCTTTGTCTTGCCCCTCTTCCTTTCGCGTCTGCCCCGCCAGGGCCAGTTTCGCCCGCCCGGGCAGGTTAGGTCTGGGCCGTAGCGGCGGGCTCTGTTCTTGCAGCTCAAACCCGTTGCAGAGCTGGGGGGCCAGTCAGCTGGACTGGGAGCCCTGCAAGGCAGCCAGCGTTGGGAAACAGACGCATGTGTAACCACCACCAGACGGATTTGAACCTGGGACCTCCGAAGCAGAGTCTAGGAGCCTTGACCCTGTGCTAAAAGCCAGCTGGCTCCCCGCCCCTGCTGTCGAGGTCTCTTGGTTTTAACTGTTGCTGTTGTCTGGGTTCCACTTGCATTGCTCAGTAACCACGCCATGTGCGTGGGTTACACACGCTGTACGTCAGTCGCCTTGTGCTGCTTTGCAGGGGCTGTTTCTCCATGGAAATGAGTTTATTTGTTTAAATAACAGAAAATAAGCGTCACTACTGGAGGGGGGGAGGCAGGTGGCTGGGTCACGTGGCTGCAGACAAAGCGGGGCCTGATTCAGGATTGCTCCGAGACCCCCATAATAAACAACCCTCGAACAGGTGGCAATGGCCCCTGGTGAATACCCCCCATGTTAAGCAGGCTCCTGGCTGGCAGAGCTGTGGGCCAGGCCTGGCAG